GCGGAAGCTGGAGGGACAGGCAGAGATAACAGGGAAACACTACAGTGGATCAGAGAATACCTGTCAGGAAGACAACAGCGAGTCATGGTACGTGAAGTGTCAGAGTGGGCGCCGGTAACGAACAGGGATCAGTCCTAGGACCGGTGCTGTTTCTGGTATTTGTGAACGACATGACGGAAGGAATAGATTCCGAAGTGTCCCTGTTTGCAGATAATGTGAAGTTGATGAGAAGAATTCAATCGGACGAAGACCAGGCAGAACTACAGAGGGATCTGGACAGGCTGCAGACCTGGTCCAGAAACTGGCTCCTGGAGTTCAACCTCGCCAAGTGCAAAGTCATGAAGATTGGGGAAGGGCAAAGAAGACCACTGACGGAGTACAGTCTAGGGGGCCAGAGCCTACAAACCTCACTCAAGGAAAAGGATCTTGGTGTGAGTATACCACCGAGAACATCTCTTAAGGCACACATCAACCAAATAACTGCTGCAGCATATAGGCGCCTGACGACAGAGTTAGGGGGGATATGATAACGACATATAAAATACTGAGAGGTATAGACAAAGTGGACAGAGACAGGATATTCCAGAGATGGGACACAACAATGAGGGGTCACAGTTGGAAGTTGAAGACTCAGATGAGTCAAAGGGATGTTAGGAAGTATTTCTTCAGTCATAGAGTTGTCAGGCAGTGGAATAGCCTAGAAAGTGACGTAGTGGAGGCGGGAACCATACATAGTTTTAAGACGAGGTTTGATAAAGTTCATGGAGCAGGGAGAGAGAGGACCCAGTAGCAACCAGTGAAGAGGCGGGGCCAGGAGCTAGGACTCGACCCTTGCAACCACAAATAGGTGAGTACACACATACACACACACACACACACACAGTCGAACAACAAATTGCTCTGAACCTTTGCTAAATCTAAACTCCAACGCCGCCATTCCCAATTCCTGCACGCAGATATTTAAACAGTGAAAAATATTTACACTTGTGAAATTGAACTGGTAAGCCATGGTGATGCTTGGTACAGGAGCCCACTATACTCTACCATGGTGATGCTTGGTACAGGAGCCCACTATACTCTACCATGGTGATGCTTGGTACAGGAGCCCACTATACTCTACCATGGTGATGCTTGGTACAGGAGCCCACTATACTCTACCATGGTGATGCTTGGTACAGGAGCCCACTATACTCTACCATGGTGATGCTTGGTACAGGAGCCCACTATACTCTACCATGGTGATGCTTGGTACAGGAGCCCACTATACTCTACCATGGTGATGCTTGGTACAGGAGCCCACTATACTCTACCATGGTGATGCTTGGTACAGGAGCCCACTATACTCTACCATGGTGATGCTTGGTACAGGAGCCCACTATACTCTACCATGGTGATGCTTGGTACAGGAGCCCACTATACTCTACCATGGTGATGCTTGGTACAGAAGCCCACTATACTCTACCATGGTGATGCTTGGTACAGGAGCCCACTATACTCTACCATGGTGATGCTTGGTACAGGAGCCCACTATACTCTACCATGGTGATGCTTGGTACAGGAGCCCATATACTCTACCATGGTGATGCTTGGTACAGGAGCCCACTATACTCTACCATGGTGATGCTTGGTACAGGAGCCCACTATACTCTACCATGGTGATGCTTGGTACAGGAGCCCACTATACTCTACCATGGTGATGCTTGGTACAGGAGCCCACTATACTCTACCGGGGAACAACCTTCAAGACAGGTGCCCTGATACTAATGAAAGTAAAGGTGCCCTGAAACTAGTGAAAGTAAAGGTGCCCTGATACTAATGAAAGTAAAGGTGCCCTGAAACTAGTGAAAGTAAAGGTGCCCTGATACTAATGAAAGTAAAGGTGCCCTGAAACTAGTGAAAGTAAAGGTGCGATGATGTAAGTGAAAATAAAGGTTCCCTGATACTAGTAAAGGTAAAGGTGTCCTGACACCAGTGAAAGTAAAGGTTCCCTGATACTAGTGAAAGTAAAGGTGCCCTGATACTAGTGAAAGTAAAGGTTCCCTAATACTAGTGAAAGTAAAGATGTTCTGATACTAGTGAAAGTAAAGTTGCCCTGATACTAGTGAAAGTAAAGGTTCCCTAATACTAGTGAAAGTAAAGGTGTCCTGATACTAGTGAAAGTAAAGTTGCCCTGATAATAGTGATATGATCTTGATCCTTAGATTAAATCTGATTATCTTTCATTCCTTATATACTTTAGGGTCCATATAATAACCCTGATCTAAGCGAGTGATAGTTATTTTCCTGCCTTCATGTAGTTTCTTGCGCCTGGAAAATGTTATCTATCTATATGTATCTATGCCTCTATATATTTCTATATATCTCTATTTATCTCTTTCTATTTATCTGCCTATATCTATACCTTTCTCTCTCTCTCCATACATATATACACATAATTACTAATATCACTTCTGTTAACATTTTGAGGACCTTATGATCTGTGGAAATTATTAAAAAAGATTAAAGTTGAAATCTAAATTAATTATTATTATTATTATTATTATTATTATTATTATTATTATTATTATTATATTCGTGTGGACACGCTAAACCCAAAAGGTCATAGAGTGTCTGGGAAGTAGCAGACAATGAAGTTTGATGTGACAACTGGGACGGTAGCGCAAGTTCCTCATATCAAGGTCCTTCACCAGTATCAAGGCAGCACTGTTGAAAGGCTGGCTAGAAGGTTATTTAATGAAGACTGTAATACCACCATAGGTTTCAACAGCCATCTTGAACAATGTAATGCGAAAACTCGCTCATTATTATGGTAATTGGAAATAACCCAGTTAGTGAACACCACTGTCTCTCAGTGATCATTACACGACTCCAACCATGACCTCCAGTGTGGAAATCACTTATGTTACACCTAACCAAATTAATAATATTCTAGTCTAACATCCTATGTTAGTTCACTAGTTAATGTTAGATCCTTTGTATCTAATTTCCCATTATTCGGTTTATTCCTTTAGCATCAACTACGTGTATATATATATATATATAATATATATATATATATATATATATATATATATATATAAATATATATACAAACACTGATCTCTGGCTGAAGGAGACTCGAACCTACGAACCTTAGGACAAGGTACGCAGTGCTTTACCAATCTACCCACACTGGACCAATACCTTGGCGTGTAGCATGCGCTACACGTTTGATCCAAGGCAGCCAGCTTTCAGGGAGAAGGCTTACAGCTTTTCATCTCATCCCCTGCATGCATCAGCCATACTAGAGATTTGAACAATGCATTGTTCAAATCTCTAGTATGGCTGATGCATGCAGGGGATGAGATGAAAAGCTGTAAGCCTTCTCCCTGAAAGCTGGCTGCCTTGGATCAAACGTGTAGCGCATGACTCAAGAAATCGTAATGACACGATTGCAAATAAACCATACCCCCGGCCGGGATTGAACCCGCGGTCATAGAGTCTCAAAACTCCAGCCCGTCGCGTTAGCCACTAGACCAGCTAGCCACAATAAGATTCCTCCAACTAGGTATATTTCTACACCATAGGAAAGTTAGCACAGGCACCTCTGTGACCACAAATGCAAGTTTTTACAGACGAATCTCCAGCTAGCGTGGCCGTGACGAACTCTAGAGTTCGTCACGGCCACGCTAGCTGGAGATTCCTCTGTAAAAACTTGCATTTGTGGTCACAGAGGTGCCTGTGCTAACTTTCCTATGGTGTAGAAATATACCTAGTTGGATGAATCTTATTGTGGCTAGCTGGTCTAGTGGCTAACGCGACGGGCTGGAGTTTTGAGACTCTATGACCGCGGGTTCAATCCCGGCCGGGGGTATGGTGTAGCGCATGCTACACGCCAAGGTATTGGTCCAGTGTGGGTAGATTGGTAAAGCACTGCGTACCTAGTCCTAAGGTTCGTAGGTTCGAGTCTCCTTCAGCCAGAGATCAGTGTTTGTATATATATATATATATATATATATATATATATAATATATATATATATATATAATATGATAAATATTTAATACACGTAGTTGATGCTAAAGGAATAAACCGAATAATGGGAAATTAGATACAAAGGATCTAACATTAACTAGTGAACTAACATAGGATGTTAGACGTGTTGCGCGCATATAAAAGGAGTGATGAAAACTTAGAATTAACCCTCTTGATCGATTATAACACCGGTTAACTAGAATATTATTAATTTGGTTAGGTGTAACATAAGTGATTTCCACACTGGAGGTCATGGTTGAGTCGTGTAATGATCACTGAGAGACAGTGGTGTTCTCGGCTTTGTGAATTTGAGTGGGCTCAGCCTAACATCTGTTATTAGGGTTACGAGGCCAATTTTTGGAGTAGCTTTGAGAATGATTCACGAAATCGCAGTGACACGATTGCAAATAAACCATACCACTGGTGGGGTTTGAACTCGCGGTCAGTGTGTGCCTATGCTAACCTTCCTATGGTGTAGAAATATACCTAGTTGGATGAATCTTATTGAAGCTAGCTGGCCCACTGGCTAACGCGACGGTCTGGAGTTTTGAAACTCTCTGACCGCGGGTTCACACCCCACCCGTGGTATGGTTAGCGTTGAGAATATGATGGATAAAAATATATGGGTTGGAAGGAAATAATTCGGGAAAGCCCTGTCGTGTTCCTTTATTCTTATATTCTTATCTGAATTAAGTATTTTCAAATCCAAATCAGAATAATGCCTTTAAATTTTTACAAATCAAAATGGAGCTTCCTCTTCCTTTAGCGAGTTTTGAACCTTAGTAATTTACAGTAACGATTACACTTTACAGCAAGCACAAATGATAAGGAAAACTGTATTATTATCCTGGACCATTATCAAGAGGCTAATGATGATATGGTCCAAGGATAGAAACATCGTCCATCTTTCTTCTTCCAGTTATAGGTTAGTTATGAATTATTACAGCCACGGTTATTGTGACACATATTTTTCAAGAATCACTTACCTGACAACAGTCCTTGGCTTCGTGGAGTCGCCCTAACTTTCTCAAAGGCGTCGCTAGCGTCACCAACGACAGTCTCTGGAACTTGGAGTTAAGGTCACATATATGAAAACTTTTGGAGAGTTCGAATGCCTTAGCGCTGAAGGAGAGGGACTTCTCGTAGTCCTTGAGGAGACAGAAGGTGTGCCCGAGACCACAATAGACCTGCAGCTCGAGCGCCGTGTCATGAATGCTTCGAGACACCTTGAGACCGAGTTCGTAGTGCTCAATGGCCTTGCTATAGCTGGAGTAGACGAGGTAAGTGTTGCCGAGGGTGAGGTGAACGTAGCCTGTAGTGCGGGACTGATCACACTGGTTGTAGAGGGAATGGCGACAGTAGGACACAGCTTTCTCTAAGTTACCCAGCCGCTCGTTGCCCCTCGCCAGGGTTAGGTACGCCTCAGCTCGTAACATCGGTGAATCCATCTCGTTAGCGATGTCGAGCTGCTGGAACCCGAAGTCGAGCATTTCTCTGTGAAGAAAGATTACCCACCGTCACTTACTGTTAGAACCTTTGAAGGCTATCACTTTGTCTCTTCGATCCTTCTCTCTCTCTCTCTTCTCTCTCTCTCCTCTCCTCCTCTCTCTTCCTTCTCTCTCTCTTTCTCTCTCTCTCTCTTCTCACTTCACACACACACACGTGTACAAAGTCGTACACCCATGTAAGTAAATACATGCATACAGGCACTCTCGCTCACGCACACCAACCCACATATCTTCCTATCAACACATAGCGATCATTCTTCCCAAGATTTATGGACACAGGAACCAAAGCAAAGCTGAAACTGTGCCTCACCTGACAGCTATTTTATTTTCTCCCCCTCTCTCTCCTCCCTCCCTCTCTCTCTCTCTCTCTCTCTCTCTCTCTCTCTCTCTCTCTCTCTCTCTCTCTCTCTCTCTCTCTCTCTCTCTCTCTCTCTCTCTCTCTCTCTCTCTCTCTCCTCTCTCTCTCTCTCTCCTCTCTCTCTCTCTCTCTCTCTCTCTCTCTCTCTCTCTCTCTCTCTCTCTCTCTCTCTCTCTCTCTCTCTCTCTCTCTCCCCTCAGATGCCTACAACAGAAATCTCATCATGGCTATACCAGACCTAGCCATCAAAACCATACCAGACCTCGCCATCAAGACCACACCAAACCTGGCCATCAAGCCCACACCAGACCTGGCCATCAAGACCACACCAGACCTGGCCATTAAAACCACACCAGACCTGGCCATCAAAACCACACCAGACCTGGCCATCAAAACCACACCAGACCTGGCCTTCAAGACCACACCAGACCTGGCCATCAAGACCACACCAGACCTTGCCATCCAGGTCACACTAGACTTGACCATCAAGACTTTTAAAAGACATTTCGGTCAGTTCTGAACCATTATCAAGTAGTGACGTGAAATATTTGTATCGCCAGAATACGTCACCACTATCACCCACTTGTTACATCCAGCTCTTAATGTAGTATACACAAGTCTCTATTTAATACCCTGTAACGTCTTTCTTTCCTTGTTCACATGACATCTTTTAAGGGAAGTGCTGGGGAAAAAGACTCTTGATCCGAAGGAATTGGAGCTACCCTCCTCTTCCTTGGATCAAACCTGACTATCTCCAGTTACCAATCTTCTAATTTTTAAAAATGTTTCCCCTCATAGACACATAATTACTTTGTATATCACCCATACATATCTTTACAACATATGTACAGGCAAGCCCCGCTTCACAGTGCTTCGCTTTACAGCGTTTCACTAATACAGCGGTTTTCAATTATGCCCATTCTTCATTTATTTAGACTTCCTACAATAAATATATTCACCACTCACTGTAAACAAAGGACGAAAACATTATAAAGTGTGTACCGTATATATGTAGGCTGCTCTAATGTTTACTTAATATATGATAGTGTATACATGTTATCAGGTTTCTGTATGTAATTAAAAGTGAAAAAAAGGTTATGATTCACTTTACAGCGATTTTCGCCTTACAACAGTTACCCAGAACCTGACCTGCTGTATAAGCAGGGCCCTCCTGTACTCACCTCGAAATGGGTGATTTGATGTTGATAAAAGTGCTTTTGAGTCAAGGAATTGGAGCTGCCCTACCCTTGGATCACTCTAGGTGCTGTACGACTCTTACAGGTTTAGCACAATTGGTGTATATAACATTAATTCACATCTGTACTACAGTTACACTTGTAAATAATTTACTTTATCTTTACCTTTTTGGTTTATAAATACAGGAAAATGGATAAACAAACAGTGTTGCTGGTAGATTAAAAGTCTAATTGGATAACTATGACAATAATAGCAAAAGCTTTAGGAGGAAAGCACGACACTGATCTAGGAAAGGCATTTGACAACTGCGATCCTGGAATAACAGCTCATAAACTGAGATCACTTGGTATATCAAGAAAAGTAGGAAAACCGAAGTTCAGAATTCTAACAGATCACAAAAAGTGGTAAACAAAACATAGTCTAGTCTTAAAGTAAACAGTTTAGTACCTCACGGCACGGTGCTAGCAACATTCTTGTTTCTCATCCTCATAGCAGAGATAGGCAAGACCACTAACCATACTTTCGCATCAGCTTTTGTAGACGATACCAAAGTAATATGAAAATCACCTCAGTAAAAGACATAAAACCTAAAAAAAAATATATCAACAAAGTCTTGCACTGTCCATGGGAAAAATAACGTTATGCTCACTGGTGACAAATTTCAACGTCTTAGGTATGAAAGGAACGAAGACATCAAAACGAACACAGTGTACAGAGTGCAGACACATCATATCACAGAGCGTAAAACAGGTAATAAACTGAAAAATTATGTCAAATCATTTGTCATTTGGAAAACACCGTAAGACAAATGCAGCAAATGTCGTGAAAATGAAAGGATGAATTATATAGAACTGTCAACAAGATAAGTAACGCTAATGATGGTACTTTTTAAATCACTTGTGCTCACACGACTTTATGTAATAATAATAATCATAATCATGTTTATTTCTACAGGTCTGTATACAACGTACACAGACCTAGTTGACATCAGTGACATACTATACAGAAAGTCCCTGGTTATGCAGAGCATTTCGGGAAACTGAGGTTCATTTTGTCCCCCAGGATGCGACCCACACGAGTCGGCTAATACATAGGTACCTACTTGTTGCTAGATGAACAGGGACAGCAGGTGTAAGGAAACAAGCCCTATGTTTCCACTCGTACCGAGGATCGAACCACGGACACTCAATGTGTGGGCTAAGTGAGCTGTGTGCTGAAAAGGCAGGAGAGAGCAGAGCTGGAAAATGTAGAGAGGTCGTATATACTACCAACAGGGAATCAGTAAAATATCTAAACTATCAGGAATGTTTCTAAGCACTTGGATTGTTCCCTCTGGTAAGAAGAGAGAGATACCTGATAATATATACAAGGAAGATACTCGAGGGCATGGTCCCACACCTGTACACTGCTACAACAACTTACTGGAATGAAACACATGAAAGTGTGGAATAAACAGAGTGAAGGGCAGGGAGGTCATGGGCACAACTGAAGAACAGTGTGTCAACATCCGTGGTCCAGGACTTACTACCAGAAGATATTAGAAATATTACTCTAGCTCTTTGGATCAAGAGACCTTCATCAGCATCAAGGCAACTCTCCCCCCCCCCCTTTGACGGGCACAGGTTTATAAATTAGTAACAAATAATTACGTGATATATTTTTACCTAACAATTTACAAAAGCCGAAGAAAAAGAAAAAAAGAGGAAAACTAACAATCTTGTCAGAGTGCAAAAAGTTGATCAGGCTTCCATTTTTTTTACTCCTATGGCAGGACTGTAGTACAGTACATACACAAAAAAGTATCCTGCATTTCTGTGGTAATATGCACAGCTAAAATATCTGTCATCTATTCCACAGTTGTTAAAATATCTGTCATACCTTCCACAGTTGTTTAAATTATGTTATACTTTCTACAGTTGTTAATATATTTGCCAATACCTTCCACACTCGTTAAAATATTTGTCAATACCTTCCACAATTGTTAAAATATGTAAGTACCTTCCACAGTTGTTTAAATATCTGTCAATATCTTCTACAGTTTTATCAGGAGAGAGTAAGATCAAGTTTATCCCGTGTATCATTTCTTTTATAAAAGAATACAATTAAAATGTTTCATACCTGACTTCTTTATTTTAGCAACGTGAAGACTTGAAGTGTGCAGAGAACACAGACTACACAAACAGGAACGGGGTACATGTGCTAGGTAGGAAGCAGGTACCAGGTCAACAAAGTACCCAGAGTGGATAAAGACTGCAGAAGCAGGAAGCAGGTAGGTATACAAGGTGCTACTAGGTGATGAAGAATGGCAGTGTGAGGTAGGGGCAGGTTACCTGTAGCGGCCCCAGTCCAGGTGAGCCTGGCTGAGGTATCCCAGCGTGATGAACTTATCGTTGTCCTTGTTGATGCGACGCAGCGCCTGCTTCCACTTCTTCACTGCTGCCAAGTGCTTCTGCTGGTTGTACAGCCGCACCCCTTGCTCCACCTGTGTGACGGAGACCCCTGTTATACACCCTATCAGCACCGCCAGCACAACCTCCTCTCCTCTAGCACCCACCTCCAGTTCTCTCACTAGGAATTCCCACCAAGGAAGAAGTTTAAAGGTTGAAAAGAGCCAGGAAGTTATAAAGATAAAGTTGACTTCATATATCTATGTTGCTCAAACCCAGCAAAATCATATTGGTAATTACAGAGACATACCAGCAAAAATTTGTTTATCCTCTATACTCAGGTATTTTTTACTGAAATCCTCCCCCTCCCAAGTCTCAGTCTCTCTCTACGACTCACCCTCTTTCTTGCTAGGCGCTGACCAAGACGGTTGTGACAGGACACCAGACAGTCCCAGACGGAGGGTGGGGGTGGTCGCGCTCTCAGCATATCTGCCCCTATATCGAGGCCCACCAAGCATGGGTCAGCCTCCGGTGTGTCGGGCAGCAGGGCACTCGAAGATAACTGGTGCGGAGGCAGGCTGTGCAGGGAGACAACCAAATCTTATAAACCTGCATGATAGTATTTGTGACAACACTCTGCCGTCTAATACACTATTACTATTACTACTGTTACTAACATCGAATACTACCACTACCTCCGTTACTACCATCATTACCAGTTCCAACCATGGTATACTGCAACCTCGGGTATGACCTAAAGCAGCAGACTAACAGCCAGGTATCTAGTTACTGTTCACTAGTCACACACACTGTGAAAGTGTTACAACGCAAGGGTATGGCTATATATGTGTGACCACGGAAAAGTAGGTAGGTTCTTGAAAATACCTCAATATGATAAGACTTCTTTGGGATATTACAAAGCTAAGCTGGATTGCGATGTACAAGAATTTGTCCAGCAGACACTACTGAGCTGGAAGTGGCGAACACACTGTCGAGTTCAAAGCGGCGAAGACACCCATTGAGCTCGAAATGGTGAATAATAATAATAATAATAATAATAATAATAATAATAATAATAATAATAATAATAATAAGAGACAAAGAACTTTGTCCTTGGAGGCAAAGAGGGGAATGTATGAGAGTATAGTTTTACCAACGCTCTTATATGGGTGTGAAGCATGGGTGATGAATGTTGCAGCGAGGAGAAGGCTGGAGGCAGTGGAGATGTCATGTCTGAGGGCAATGTGTGGTGTGAATATAATGCAGAGAATTCGTAGTTTGGAAGTTAGGAGGAGGTGCGGGATTACCAAAATTGTTGTCCAGAGGGCTGAGGAAGGGTTGTTGAGGTGGTTCGGACATGTAGAGAGAATGGAGCGAAACAGAATGACTTCAAGAGTGTATCAGTCTGTAGTGGAAGGAAGGCGGGGTAGGGATCGGCCTAGGAAAGGTTGGAGGGAGGGGGTAAAGGAGGTTTTGTGTGCGAGGGGCTTGGACTTCCAGCAGGCGTACGTGAGCGTGTTTGATAGGAGTGAATGGAGACGAATGGTTTTTAATACTTGACGTGCTGTTGGAGTGTGAGCAAAGTAACATTTATGAAGGGGTTCAGGGAAACCGGCAGGCCGGACTTGAGTCCTGGAGATGGGAAGTACAGTGCCTGCACTCTGAAGGAGGGGTGTTAATGTTGCAGTTTAAAAACTGTAGTGTAGAGCACCCTTCTGGCAAGACAGTGATGGAGTGAATGATGGTGAAAGTTTTTCTTTTTCGGGCCACCCTGCCTTGGTGGGAATCGGCCAGTGTGATAATAAAAAATAAATAAATAATAATAATAATATAAAGTTCCATTCTAGGATAGCGGATGCCTGAGGGAGTTTTGTGGATTAGTACGGATACAAGAAAGTCCAATGGCGTAAAAAGGTATATTAGTTCGGAGATTTGAGGAGAATGTCAGGAAAGAGCGTCCGGTTACCTCAAGTCTTGTGTGGCAGTTTACTTCGGTTAATGAGGGTCTTGCTGGTGACCATCTGCAGTGCGGGTGTTTGGGTGGCGGAGGTTTAACTTACTTATATTTCCAAAGTATCCAGAATATGGATAACATGCTTGCCGATATCCTCGTTACAGAGAATATGAAATAAGTAGGCTTATTTATCACTGACAAAAAGATTTTACCATGATATTTATTCACGATCTTTTTAATGTTAAATAAGTTACAAGTAACTTACGACTCTTATATACGTTCGGTGTCAAAATTTCCTAATATTGTAACAAACATCTAGTGCTATTTTGAATATAAAATTTGAAATATGTGACTTGGAAATATGTGAGACTGAGTGTGGGAGAAGGGTGCGGGGGGGGGGGGGGGGGAGGAGGGAGGGGGCAGAGCACCAAGGAAGAAATCGATGACAAACTTCTGACTTCACTTGTCCCAACTTATTTTCTCATCTTCAAAACGCTCAGTTTAACTACTTTCACATTAGGTAATACATGCCATAAGTATTTTGCCAGTTTTATACATAACCACATATATTTTACACACACACACACACACACACACACACACACACACACACACACACACACACACACACACACACACACACACACACACACACACACACACAAACTCACACACACTCACACAACAACACAAACACTGTCTTCGTGTTTACAATATCCCAGTCTCTGGGATATTGTAAACAACGTCCTCAACCAGATCAGTCCTCCCTAACAGCTACAAACAGCCGTGCTGGGATATCCCAGTAGAGGAATAACCTCAATAGAGCTTGACCGTGTGATCCCGTATGGATCATACAGTCGAATGGATCATACAGTCGTATGGATCATACAGCTTTATGGATAATACAACACTAATCCAAAGATTAAGAGCAAATCAGCGGCATCAAGGTCCTTCTCAGGAAGAGACACAGATGTTCTTATACGACCGCAACATGTCAACATATGCTGCTGAGCTAACATATGCTGCTGTGATACACAACACTAGTACATCTTGCCAACATATGCTGGCGGGATACAGTGGAGAAAAAACATGACAGCATATTCAGTATGCCAATGATCCAACACACATTGCAACAATGATCCAACACACACTGCAACAATGATCCAACACACACTGCAACAATGATCCAACACACACTGCAACAATGATCCAACACACACTGCAACAATGATCCAACACACACTGCAACAATGATCCAACACACACTGCAACAATGATCCAACACACACTGCACAATGATCCAACACACACTGCAACAATGATCCAACACACACTGCAACAATGATCCAACACACACTGCAACAATGATCCAACACACACTGCAACAATGATCCAACACACACTGCAAACATGATCCAACCACACACTGCAACAATGATCCAACACACACTGCAACAATGATCCAACACACACTGCAACAATGATCCACACACACTGCAACAATGATCCAACACACACTGCAACAATGATCCAACACACACTGCAACAATGATCCACACACACTGCAACAATGATCCAACACACACTGCAACAATGATCCACACACATTGCAACAATGATCCAACACCTGCAACAATGATCCAACACACACTGCAACAATGATCCAACACACACTGCAACAATGATCAACACACACTGCAACAATGATCCACACACACACTGCAACAATGATCCACACACACTGCAACAATGATCCAACACACACTGCAACAATGATCCAACACACACTGCAACAATGATCCAACACACACTGCAACAATGATCCACACACACTGCAACAATGATCCAACACACTTGCAACAATGATCCAACACACACTGCAGCAATGATCCAACACACACTGCAAACAATGATCCAACACACATGCAACAATGATCCAACACAACTGCAACAATGATCCAACACACACTGCAACAATGATCCAACACACACTGCAACAATGATCCAACACACACTGCAACAATGATCCAACACACACTGCAACAATGATCCAACACACACACTGCAACAATGATCCAACACACACTGCAACAATGATCACACACACTGCAACAATGATCCAACACACACTGCAACAATGATCCAACACACACTGCAACAATGATCCAACACACACTGCAACAATGATCCAACACACACTGCAACAATGATCCAACACACACTGCAACAATGATCCAACACACACTGCAACAATGAACCACACACACTGCAAACAATGATCCAACACACACTGCAACAATGATCCAACACACATTGCAACAATGATCCAACACACACTGCAACAATGATCCAACACACACTGCAACATGATCCAACACACACTGAACAATGATCCAACACACACTGCAACAATGATCCAACACACACTGCAACAATGATCCAACACACACTGCAACAATGATCCAACACACACTGCAACAATGATCCAACACACACTGCAACAATGATCCAACCACATCTGCAACAATGATCCAACACACACTGCAACAATGATCCACACCAACACTGCAACAATGATCCAACACACACTGCAACAATGATCCAACACACACTGAACAATGATCCAACACACACTGCAACAATGATCCAACACACACTGCAACAATGATCTAACACACACTGCAACAATGATCCAACACACATGCAACAATGATCCACACACACTGCAACAATGATCCACACACACTGCAACAATGATCCAACACACACTGCAACAATGATCCAACACACACTGCAACAATGATCCAACACACACTGCAACAATGATCCAACACACACTGCAACAATGATCCAACACACACTGCAACAATGATCAACACACACTGCAACAATGATCCAACACACACTGCAACAATGATCCAACACACACTGCAACAATGATCCACAACACACCTGAACAATGATCCAACACACACTGCAACAATGATCCACACACACCTGCAACAATGATCCACACACACTGCAACAATGATCCAACACACACTGCAACAATGATCCACACACACTTGCAACAATGATCCACACACTGCAACAATGATCCAACACACACTTCAACAATGATCCAAACACACACTGCAACAATGATCCAACACACACTTCAACAATGATCCACCACACACTTCAACAATGATCCACCACACACTTCAACAATGATCCACCACACATTCTAACAATGATCACCACACACTTCAACAATGATCCCACACATGCAACACATGACCACCACACACTTCAACAATGATCCACCACACACTTCAACAATGATCCACCACACACTGCAACAATGATCCACCACACACTTCTAACAATGATCCACCACACACTGCAACAATGATCCACCACACACTGTAACATGATCACCACACTGCAAACAATGATCATCACACACTGCAACAATGATCCACCACACACTTCAACAATCATCCACCACACTGCAAACAATGGATCCCCACACACTGTAACATATGATCTACCACACACTGCAACAATGATCCACCACACACTGAAACAATGATCCACCACACACTGCAACAATGATCCATCACACACTGCAACAATGATCCA